AAAGTTGAATTTAAAATCGACACAGGAGCTGACGTGACTGCTATAACCAAGAAAACTTTCACAGCAGTGAAGGTAAGGGACATATCCACAAATTACAGCCGGCAGACAGAGTTCTTCAGGGAGCTGGACAGAACACTTTGAAAGTCATAGGCAAGTTCATAGGCGTGTTAGCTACAGATAAAACACAGTCATCTACAGAAATATATGTGATCCGAGAACTTACCAAACCTTTGTTAGGCAGAGTTGCTATTGAAAGGCTTAATCTCATCAAGATGATGGCTTCCGTACAACACTCGGGCGACTACAGGAAGAAATATCCTACCCTATTTCATGGATTAGGGAAGATGAGCGGGGAATATGAGATAAAGTCACGCGATGGTGCTAAACCTTTCGCGATATCCACTCCGCACCGCATAGCGTTACCGTTGCTTGACAAAGTGGAAGATGAACTCTCAAGAATGAAGTCGCTTGGAGTTATTTCCCCTGTTGATGAACCTACAGACTATTGTGCTGGTTTAGTCGTAGTTCCTAAAAGAAACAATACCGTAAGGATATGTGTAGATCTGACTCAGCTCAACAAATCGGTAAGGAGAGAGAATCACCAGCTACCGTGTACTGAGGGAACACTCCACAGACTCACAGGCGCGAAAGTGTTTTCAAAACTAGACGCCAATAGCGGATTTTGGCAAGTCCTTCTGGCTTNAACAATACCGTAAGGATATGTGTAGATCTGACTCAGCTCAACAAATCGGTAAGGAGAGAGAATCACCAGCTACCGTGTACTGAGGAAACACTCCACAGACTTACAGGCGCGAAAGTGTTTTCAAAACTAGACGCCAATAGCGGATTTTGGCAAGTCCCTCTGGCTCAGTCGTCGCGGTTATTAACCACGTTCATCACACCATTCGGGCGCTATTGTTTCAATCGACTTCCGTTTGGAATATCATCGGCGCCAGAATATTTCCAGAAAAGGATGGAGACTCTACTCACTGGGATACCTGGTGTTCTCTGCCAGATGGATGACGTGTTAATTTTCGGCCCGACGCAAGATGTACATGACGCGAGACTCGACCGTGTACTTCAGTGTTTTGAAAAGGCGGGCTTAACCCTCAACGAAGAGAAGTGCGAATTCTCTAAAGATCAAATCACTTTCGTCGGTCACGTGATTGACGCGTTCGGTGTGCGACCCGACCCTAGGAAGGTCGAGGCAATCGTTAAGTTTCCAGCCCCTACCAACGTACCAGAAGTGCGTAGATTCTTAGGGATGGTAAACCAATTAGGCAGGTTTACACCAAACCTCGCGCAACACAGTCAACCTATTCGGGAACTGTTACATAAGGACAGTGTGTGGACCTGGGACGATCCACAAATTCAGGCATTTGCCAAGATCAAAGAGGAACTCAGCTCTGAAACCGTGTTAGCGTTGTATGACCCGAAAGCGCCTACCAGAGTATCAGCAGATGCATCATCGTTCGGATTAGGCGCAGTACTTCTCCAATGCCCTCAAGGTGAGGACAAGTGGAAACCGGTTGCGTACGCGTCGAGAGCGATGAGCGGTACAGAACAACGATACGCGCAAGTATAAAAGGAAGCGCTCGCGGTCACGTGGGCATGTGAAAAGTTTGCGGACTTTCTGATCGGTATGAATTTCAGCATCGAAACTGACCATAAACCCGTTGTATCGCTGCTTGGAGTAAAAGCAATATCGGAACTGCCTCCGAGGATCCAACGCTTTAGAATGCGACTAATGCGTTACGAGTATGATATCGGACACGTACCGGGAAAATCCCTTCACACGGCCGATGCTCTGTCGAGAGCACCCCTCTGTCAGGTTACAAAGGAGGAAGAGGAATTCCAGTCAACAGTGGGGGCCTATGTAGATTCTGTAATGGAAAGCCTTCCTGCGACTGAGACACGTCTGGACGACATTCGCAGATGTATTCACGACGACAGTGTACTGAGCATAATCGTGGAATATTGTCTAAGCGGTTGGCCAGGGTTCGAAAACCCAGCCATCAATATCGCGACGCGACCTTATTGGCAAATACGCGAGGAACTGACCGTATGTCAAGGATTACTAATGCGCGGAACACGACTGATAATACCGACGACGCTTAGAGCAGAACTTCTCCAAAAGATTCACGAGGGCCATCAAGGTATTGTAAAGTGTCGTGAACGAGCACGAAACTCAATCTGGTGGCCAGGGATAAATCGTGAGATTGAGAACTTGGTGACAAACTGCACAGTGTGTATCAAATACAGATCGGATCATGCCGAGCCCTTAAGGCCAACAGAATTTCCAGAGCGACCGTGGCAAATGGTCGGCTCGGATCTCTTTCACTTAAAGGACGCGAACTACTTACTTGTCGTGGATTACTTCTCGAGATATGTCGAGATCGCGAAACTGAAGTCGACCACGTCACAGGCCATAGTGACCCAACTTCAGTCTATCTTTGCGCGACACGGTATCCCGGAAACCATAGTTACGGATAACGGTCCCCAGTATCGAGTGCGATATTTAAGAAATTCGCGACAGAATGTGGGTTTCGCCATAACCCCAGCAGTCCGTATTACCCTCAAGGTAACGGTGAGGCTGAGAGAGCGGTCCAAAGTATCAAGCGAGTGATAAGAAACGCGAAGGACCCGTATCAGGCGTTACTCGCCTATCGTGCTACGCCACTTAAGTGCGGCTACAGCCCAGCAGAACTGTTGATGGGCTGAAAGTTGCGCACAACTTTGCCAGAAAACCCCAAAAACCTTACACCGGAGTGGCCAGATTTGGCTAAGGTTCGCGAAAAGGAGACGCGGGACAGAATGACTCAAAAACAAAACTTTGACATTTCTCGTCATGCCAGACCCCTACCTAAACTCGAGTCAGGTCAGACTGTGTGGGTAAGAGGTCATGGAGGCGGGTTCAGTGGAACGGTGAAGTCAACTGCCGGTTATGACAGATCTTACCTGATAGAGACACCACATGCACCCGGACACATGGTGAGGAGGAACAGACGGCAGTTCGTGTCAGCTCCCAATCTAATCATGGAACCTTCAGAATCACAAGACATTGAGTGTGAGACATTTACAAACCTGTGTACTAGCCCGAGTGTACTAGTTAGGTCACCAGTTAGGCATACAGACCATCCAACAACACCAAAAGTCAGTGTTCAAACCCAGCACCATAGTTCTACTCCAGATAGGGTTATAACATATACTCGATCAGGTCGAGCTTCCAAACCAGTTAACAAGATGAACTTGTAGACTAGTTGTAGTGCTTCGGTTCGAACAATGTTATAGTTTAGTAGTTTAGTAACTTTACTAGTCAATGTGTTTACTAGTCAGTTTGAGTTTATAATAGTTATATTGGTCAGTTATACATCCATTGCAGTATTTGTAGAAGGAATCTACCAAAGTAAGGGAGATGTAGTATTAGCCATATATACATAGTTATATGATACAGACTATAGGCGGACTATTGCGAGTCTACTATGAAACAGACTATAACGGTATGTACTGATTGTTGTGTATTGTGTACTACGTCACGATAATTGAATAAATCATGGCTTGACCCAACCACATCCGTTGTCTCTGTATCACGAACAACCTAGGGTGAATACAACATACAACATTACTAACTGTTTGTATTGAGTGATGTACAATAATGAATACATGGACCTCATTAAGAAGGTATGGGTCTGAGACGTTACTAACTGTATATATTGAGTGACTTACACTAATGAATACATGTACCTCATTAAGAAGGTGTGGGTCTGAGACGTTACGAACTGTATGTATTGAGTGACGTACACTAATGCATGTACATTGACCTCATTAAGAAGATATGGGTCTGAGACGTTATTAACTGTATCTATTGAGTGACTTACACTAATGAATACATCTACCTAATTAAGAAGGTAGTGGTCTGAGACGTTACTAGCTGTATATATTGAGTGACTTACACCAATGAATAAATGTACCTCATTAAGAAGGTATGGGTCTGAGACGTTACTAACTGTATATATTGAGTGACTTACACTAATGAATACATGTACCTAATTAAGAAGGTATGGGTCTGAGACGTTACGAACTGTATATATTGAGTGACGTCACTAATGCATGTACATTGACCTCATTAAGAAGATATGGGATTGAGACGTTACTAACTGTATATATTGATTGACGTACACTAATGCATGTACATTGACCTAATTAAGGAGGTATCGGTCTGAGACGTTACTAGCTGTATATATTGATTGACGTACACTAATGCATGTACATTGACCTAATTAATGAGGTATGGGTCTGAGACATTACTAGCTGTATATATTGATTAACCTACACTAATGAATACATGTACCTCATTTAGAAGGTATGGGTCTGAGACGTTACTAACTGTATATATTGAGTGACCTACACTAATACATGTACATGGACCTAATTAAGAAGGTCTGGGTCTGAGACGTTACTAACTGTATATATTGAGTGATATACAATAATGAATACATGGACCTTATTAAGAAGGTATGGGTCTGTGACGTTACGAACTGTATATATTGAGTGACGTACACTAATGCATGTACAAGGACCTCATTAAGAAGGTATGGGTCTGAGACGTTACTAGATGTATATATTGAGTGACGTACACTTATGAATAAATGGACCTAATTAAGGAGGTATGGGTCTGATACGTTACGAACTGTATATATTGAGTGACGTACACTAATGCATGCACATGTACCTCATTAAGGAGGTATGGGTCTGAGACGTTACTAGCTGTATATATTGATTGACGTACACTAATGCATGTACATGTACCTCATTAAGGAGGTATGGGTCTGAGACGTTACTAGCTGTATATATTGATTGGCGTACACTAATGAATACATGTACCTCATTAAGAAGGTATGGGTCTGAGACGTTACTAACTGTATCTTTTGAGTGACGTACACTAATGAATACATTAACCTAATTAATGAATTATGGGTCTGAGACGTTACAATCTGTATATATTGAGTGACGTACACTAATGCATGCTAATGTACCTCATTTAGAAGGTATGGGTATGAGACGTTACTAGCTGTATATATTGAGTGACGTACACTAATGAACACATGGACCTAATTAATGAGGTATGGGTCTGAGATGTTACTAGCTGTATATATTGAGTGACGTACACTAATGCATGCTAATGTACCTCATTTATAAGGTATGGGTCTGAGACGTTACTAGCTGTTTATATTGAGTGACGTACACTAATGCATGCTAATGTACCTCATTTAGAAGGTATGGGTCTGAGACGTTACTTGCTGTATATATTGCATCATATTTTAATGGTCATTAATTTATGTTGTGCATAATTATATATATATTCAGATGGATCAGCTAGCTAAACATTAATGATGTTCATAGTATCATTGATGGCTATTGAATTAAGTCAGTCATTCACCATGATCTAGTACATAATATTATATAAATTGTATTATTTTGCAAAGTCACCATTGCATGCTATATATTTGTGATTATTTTTAAATCAAATTTTAAAAAATCTGTACATAAACATGCTCTTGGTTTGTCAAAGAAAGTATAAACTACCTAGATGTATGCATTGTTTGGTTTTCTTTTGCTGTTTAAAAACCACAAGTTTCCATCATCTACAGCAGTCACTAGAGGTGCAGATAGTTTATCCATATGTATGAGAAATCTTCTTCCTTCCAAATTGATCATCTCTGGCATAAACCAAAGGCTTGTATCTTCATCAAACTGACAGTTAACAAATTGCATGATGCTAGCGAATTGGAATACAGTACCACTTGCTTCATCATTGTGGCAAATGAAATGTTCTATTTGACCAAAATATAAAAATTTCCCTGGAGAAAGCTTTTGTTGGCCTTCACCTTTATCGAGTTCAAAGCAAATGAAGCTGGAATCTGTTTTAGCAGATCTAGATGACTTCTGAGTCTTCTTGCTAGAATATATCACTGATCTTCCAGTCGTAGGGTCACTTATTCCAAGACGATGGCATTTGAAGACAACACAATTCTCTTTCGTGCATGAGCAACCAGTGCAAGTCTTGTGTATTGTCTGTAATTCACGCTTTCTGGGATGATACCTAACTTTTCTAGAATTCTCACGTTCATGATCACTTATTTCATCTTAGAAAACTTCTGTGAAACCTTGTGGCATTTTTCCAGATTGAATCATAAATTGACACCAGTCATAGATCCTATATGTTTCAATCACAGTTGATTCTGGGTGTCGCATGTTCATAGTACGTTTGCATATCCAGGAGTTGAACCTCTCGTATACATACATCCAGGTCCCATACACAGGACCAAATGTCCTGATTCCTTTCACAATATGATGTAAACTATGTGTTGTAATATTTTGAAGACTAACAGGTAAGGCATTTTCCATTTCAATGAGAGCTTCATTTACTTTTGACTCAAGTGCTTCAAGATCATCTAAACACTAATGCTCCTCACATAATGCTGTCAAGGCATCGAGCAAACTGAAAAAGCTTTTCCTACACTGGACTGCAAGACATCCTCTCAAGCAAAACTTCAGAATCCCATGACATGCCAATTGTTTCCCGTCATGGGATTTTAGAGAACCACTACTTTTACTGATGAATGGTGAAGGTTTCACTCCAAAATCCAGAGGGGGGCGAATACTACAGGCTCTTTCATCAGCTACTTTCATTTCATTTTCTGTCATCACAAACCTGTAGATGGTTTTTGAATGTTTTGCTGAACCACTTGCAATGTCCTTCCGTTTGATTGACTGTTTAAATGCATATTTTCTGTCATCAAGATTAGTATCAATTGTTGGTCGGTCACGCTTCTCTTCAGACTCCACTATCTTTGACAGTTCCATCCCTTTGTTGGTGAAAAGGTTCATGACTTTTTGTGTTACATCTTTCACTGTATGACATGCATCAGGTTGGGTTTGGTCAATACGATGTCCATCTACAGTTAGTCTTTCTAATGCATACTTCCCTTTGCAGCCTGTAGCGCTAGCAATCATGGATTTGTTTATCTGTGTAGAGGTTTTATCATAAGCATCACGATAGATTTTCTCCGACTTCTCATCTCTGATTCGTGGAACTTCAGAAATCGAAGCAGTATGGTCATGGTCACAATCCGCAGTATAGGTCTGTAAAGATGGTTACATGGGTATATTACCTTCTTCAATATTGAGCAATACTCTCCCCTTATATGACACCAATGACATGCTGAAATTCCACCACTTCCTTGGAGGTTGAATAGTTTTGATAGTCCTGGATAATCTAGAATGTACATCAGTTACCTAATTTTCACTTGAACAGGTGCCTTTAAATAGCTGTCATAGGTTTTACACCTAGTTAATTGCAATAGTTCATCAACCATGATTTCAAGGTATGGGTCAAGTTAAGATGCTTCAGCCCTGCTACTCCCTGGAATTATTCCAACCAGTAAAATATTCCCAAATGCATTCCTTGTTTTCCTTGGTAAGTAGTGTAAACATCATTGGTGTCATGGAATATTGTACACCAATATTATGGAATGGATTTACCCCATCCAATTCAAAAGCAAGTGAAATTCCATTCCTATGGCCTTCGAAATGACCGTTAGGAGAATACATCGCTTTCCACAA